TCTCTGTTCCCTAACTACAAGATTATGTGTTTAAATACTACTCTATTCAGAATAATTGTAATATTAAATGATCCTTTAAATTGTAATGGTTTGTCTGAATTAATTTAGTCGGTATCACACTCTAGCCACGACAGTAGGTCTGGTTTGTTTCATATGCACTCAGTGTCATGATTCTGTCTCGTCTGCTTCCTGTCTCATGCCTTTATTTTGATACTACATCCTGTCCCCAGCTCACCCTGACTCCTGGGAACTTTATCTCATCACTCAGATTGGTTTCACCTGCTTCTCATTAATCACACCTGGTTACAATAGCATATAGGCAGCTTCCCACAGGGTGAGAAGCTGTCAGATTGTTCTAACCCACGTCAGACTTTCCAGCAGTTTTTTTTCTTGTGCCCGGTTTTCCTGTTTTGACCCCAGATTGCCATTGACCACCGAGTACTGTGAATTCGACTATCGGACTTCCCTCTCTGACCTCTTGCTTTGGATCCCTCAGCTATGTACATTTTCTGGCTCTGACCCTGGGCAGTATTAACGACCTGAGAGTATTACGTGCAGAATCAGTATCTGGCTTTGTGTTATCTTTTGTGTCTGACCAGTGCGCTTATTAAAGAGAGTGTTTTACTTATCCTCGTCTGGCTCTATAATTTGAGTTCACCCTGTGACATCATCGGCGGCTTTGTGCGCCGATCCTGTTGGTACGATCTGGCCAACATGTACACTTTTGGCAGTGTACCCGTATACAGGCATCGGAGGGACAGTTTTCATGTCAGAATCAGAATAAGAGTTTTATTGGCCAGGTGTGACAGACACATGAGGAATTTGACTCAGGTACATTGGCTCTCAATGTGCAAACCAGTAAACCAGCATAAGGCTGTGTAATATAACAAAATAGCAGTATTAACATCAACAAACAGTGCAAACAATGCAGAAAAAGCAGTATAAACAGACAGTAAACAATGCAGACAACAAAGGAATGTTCATTGAAATGAGATAAATAGGGATAAAACAGAGTACTTAAAAACTAGAGACCTATACAAGTCTGTATAATCTGTATGAGGTATATTTACAGGTATTGCAATGAGGGTTATTGTCCAAACATACTGTTGTGGGTTAAGTGTTCATCAGTGTGATGGCCTGGGGGAAGAAACTGTCCCTGTGCCTGGTTGTCTTGGTGCACAGTGACCTGTAATGCCGTCCAGAGAAGAGGAGTTCAAACAGATTGTGTCCGGGGTGTAAGGGGCCTGCAGTGATCCTCTCCGCCCTTCTTTTGACCCATGCGGTGTATAGGTCCTCCATGGAGGGTAGGCTCATACCAACGACCTTTTCTGCAGTCCTCACTGTCCGCTGAAGTCTGTACTTGTCCTGTTTGGTTGCTGAGCCAAACCAGACAGTGATGGAAGTGCAGAGAACAGACTTGATGATTTCTCTGTAGAACTGTATCAGCAGCTCCTGGGGCAGGTCGAACTTCCTCTTGTTGCAGGAAGTACATCCTCTGCTGTGCCTTCTTGGTGATGGTCCTGATGTTGGATGTCCAGGTCCTGGGATATAGTGTAGCCCAGGAACTTGTAGGACTTTACTGCTGATACAGTACTGCCAAGTATGGTAAGTGGGGGCAGGGTGGGAGGGCTCTTCCTGAAGTCCACTGTCATCTCCACTGTTTTGAGTGTGTTCAGCTCCAGTGTTAGAAATTAATAAATTAGTCAGATAATTATTAGACTTTAATGTGTTAGACTTTGTGTTATTAATGCAGTTTAGTAAGATTCAAAGTCTGCTCTTTTGTGCTTTGCTTCAAGGTTAGAAGATAATGTTGATTCTGAAAAGTGTACCTTGACACTAGTTGTTTTCTTGTATTAATCTTGTGTAAGAATTATGTCTGAATGTATGTTTTAGTTACACACCACGTAAGCAACAACACACACACATGGAATTCTTCACTTTATGATGCATGCGGAGCATAAGATATGAGGAGATGTCGGACTGTCTCAACTCGTGATGTTTTTACATCTGTCTGTGTAAGGAGTTAGCCCAAAACCTTCTAAATGTATTGGCCTCTGTGTTTCCGGGGTCTCTCTTCTCCAGCAGCTTGTCTGGGGGGGAACAGCAGTCAGCAGTTCCCACTATCAGCCCAACATCAGGCACCTGGCTCACACCAATGTTGTTTTTCTGTAAACTTTTATTTGTGGCTTTTTTAAATAAACCAGCACTAAAATCAAACAAGTCGGACTCCCTCTTCATTCAGATCTGTTCAATTAAAGAACTGGGGAAAGAACTAAATGAGTGCCGTGATTACAGAATTTGATATCAATAAGGGATGTAAAATTCACGTTTTATAAGTGAATTTCTGCTACTTAGTAGCAGTTGTCTCCCCAAATTGCCTGAATTCTTTTTTAATTTCCCTCCAGCTGGAGAATAGACAGAGAGTCATCTCAACTGAACAGATGCTCTTTGATACATTCCACACGTAATAGCGGCACAGGGAAATCGCCAGTTTATTATTTTTCTTATGGAATGTGTGGGTGGTTAACTGCACAACAGGCTGATTAAGATATTGTTTACAGGCGTATCATAACTGGACGAATAGGTTCGGTTGTGAGAATTTGTTGTGGATTTAACGTGCCTTGTGCAGCTGTGAACTGAGTCCGGGAGGGGAATAGGCTTATTGGGGAATTGCATATTAGCTTATGGTGATGCCTGTTCTGTTGAGATAAAACAGTGTTATTCTGCTGGGGTAACCCCAA